AAACAAATAGGTCTTAATATAAAAGAACTCAGTGTTTCAGCAGCTTTTCCCATCCTCTGGTTCTGCTCTTCTCTCTCAGTGCGACTAAAGATAAATGCCTAGATGAGTTTCTCTAGATTGTGCTAAGACATTAGTCCTTTAATCCTGGAGATGTTCTTCAGGTTATAGAAGGTTGACTTTGTAACTGTCTTTATGTGACTCTGTAGGTTCAGGACAGAGTCCATCACTAACTGAATAAAGTTTTGACACCTCTGCACATTTGTTTGTCCCACATATCCCCTCAGTGTTTGAATGGATTTACATTCACCTGATGATATTGTAAAATAGAATTGTGCATCATCTGCATAGTTATGGACCGTAGTTTGTTGTTTTCTGTTCTCAGCTCTCTGCTGTTTACATTGTTAACACATGACTATGTATTCAGATATAAGGAAATTTCATTTTTAAGTTTGCAGATGACGTCACAGTGATGGCGTTGATTAGCAGAAACAATTAATCATTGCACAGGAAAGAAATTGATCACCTTTAGGTTGGTACAGACAACAATCTGGTGCTAAACAGCCAAGACAAAGCAAATGATCACTGGTCTGCTGAAGACACAGAGTAAGCATGCTCCTCTCAGCACTGGCAGCTAGTCACTAGAAAGAGTAATACTTTGCTCTGAATATCTTATAAGAAATAATTTAGCTGTTTGAATTAAACTCTCTGAGTGTTTAAATGTGCAGACTTTATGCACACTATCAAATCAAATGTACTTCTGTCTGTTTTATGCATACTAAGTTGTGTAGATAATGCAAATATTTCAGTAGTTAGCATTTAAGCCAGACAGACTCATAAATAATACATACCTTTAATAAAAACAATAACTATGAGTAATGCATGATAGTGTTCACTTTTACATTTTAAATAAAGGACTCAATAGAATTTATTTTTCCCTTTGGAGACTGAAATGAGCCCCGTGCTTTTCACTCAGTTCAGTTTTATATAGTTGAAACCAGAAGTTTACACTGAATATAAAGACATGCAGCTTTTTATCTTTATCTAAAGTTAATTCAGAACAACTTTCTCTTGTCTTTGGTCAGTTAGAATTAAAAAGATAAAAAAGTTATTTCTACTTGTTAAATGCCACAAAGATGAGAGAAAAATTGATAACACTTTATGTGACAGGGTGTGGATAATACATGACAATACACCTGTCATGGACATGTATGAGTCTTTATGAATGTCTATGACTGTTGACATGAAGTGTCAATCTGTAAATAATGACACATTTAATGCAACGTTGCTTTAAAAGTTGCATTAAAAGTCCATTAGAAGTGCCAACTTTGTATTATTTTGTAAATAACATTTTGCATTGTTTGAAACCAGTCTGGTTTCAAATTGATGCAATTTGAATGAATAAAAACTGAACTGAAGTAAAATGAAGGCTGTTCATTCAGAGAAACATGAAAACCATTTGGGTCCTCGTTGATCTCCAAGCAGGCCCAGCTGGAGGAAAAGGTTTGAGGAAAGTCCACACCTTCCCATGCCATCATGTGCTCCTGGCCTTTAATCAGAAGCAGAGAGACCGCATTTCCAAGAAATGCTGTTGCCTCTCCGTTTGCACACTGCAGCAACCTGTCTTATTTTAGGAGCAGCTAGTGTAAGAAAGAAGTTGTAGTTCTTCCTCTTGATTTACCATGACAAAAACACAGAGATAAGATTTTTTTCCCAACAGCATTTAAAGTCCCTGAGAACACCACTGCTGTTGGGTTGCCAGGACAGGAAATTTAACACGGCACACAACCGGCAGTTAACCTGGAACATCGCAGAAACCCTGAACTGCACAGGGATTTGCTGAGCGTGTGCATGGGTGAGTCACACTGCATAAATTAGCATGAGTTTACTTTATAATAAGAATAAACAGAGAGGAAAGCAGGGCAAGTTTGACTGGTGCAGCTTTAGGATTCATTTCAGAGGATGAGAACATGACTTAAGGAAGACTTTCCTCCTTTCTGTCTCTGCTTGTAGCTGAGCAGGAAAATGGGAAGCAGAACAACAACGCTGCAGCTCCTGGATCATCTTAGACAGTCGTCTGCTCACACATCCTGAATCCAGAGGTTCTACCAACAGCTGTCTTTCATAAGAACACTCTGTCTATATATTTTGTAGAATTGTTGTCATCTGTTTTGTGGGAAGACGACAAATGACTTTTGAAACAACATGTGGCTGAACATGTAAGGTCAAACTGGTATAATAGAACAGCAGGGAATGATGGCGATAAAAACGTTAACTGAAAAACTGACATTATACAGTAATGTAGGAAGAGTTATCTCTTTTACTTCTAGAGTTTTAAAAATCACGAAGGTGATCTGGTGTCTATTTGGCTCTAAAATCATTTTGTGATAACTAGACAAGTATAAAAACACACAAAAGATTCCATGTTGTCTTTAGTGTTTAAAAAAATAATCTCAAAAAGATAAACATTGATAAACATTGGCTGTCACTAGTTTCAGGACTTTCACTCACTAATCTGTTGCGTCCACACCAACCATCTTTTCAGTGTTTTCTTGTTGAGTGAAAGCTCGTTATTCTGTTGATTTAGTTTACATATGAAATGATTTCAACCCCCTGTGCAAAAATCTTTCATGATAAGACTGGAGTCTCAGGTTAGAGCTCTTGCAATGCTTTCTGTCTTCTGTCAAAAACATGTGTAAATGATCTGTGTAGCAAAGCTTTTCATCCATCACCCTCTGCCTATGACAGGGTGAGGCTGGAGGAGCCTTCAGGATGAAATCTATTGACTAAAACCCAACTAATCCACATATACAAGGACATCACAGCAAATTAGATCACAACTCCAGTTAAAACTATTTTTTTTGTGAAAGTAGTTTATTTGGATTCTTTTCTTCACAGATAAAATCACACTTAATTTTACAGTAATATAGCATCTATGACAAACATACAAAAATCACAGCAAGAGAAAATCCAATGAAGAACTAAGAGACGTCTCAGATCAGACACCTAGAAAATAAAACCTCTGAATATTGTAGAGATTTCATAAACATATCTTACAATGACATTCTTTTGCTTATTCTCTCTGCAGCCATTTTTTTCTTCCTTTAGAAATAGATTCAACTTGTTAAGCTATCGACATGTTCAGCTCTCTTATAAATCAGTATTACTTTAAGTAACTTTCTAAAAGGGTTTTCTTCACCATTAACATAGGATGTGTTTGATCCAGTGTGTTAGCTTGCAGATATTTAGAAAATGAATTGCATTAGCATATTTTTGACGACAGTGTTTAGTGGAGCAATGAAGTTTCATTATTAATTTCTCTTAAGTCTAAAATCTAAGTCTAAAAACCAACAAGTTCAGTTGGTCTAGTAGGATTATTTAACAGCTGTGTTCAATTCAAGACAATGGCACTTCTGAATGAATGAATGATCACAATAGTTCATATGTGGTATCCTTAGCCGCTATATATATATATATATATATATATATATATATATATATATATATATATATATATATATATATATATATATATATATATATATATGGCTCATTCCTTTGAGCCATTCAGTGGTGGATTAGTGTATCGTGCTTATCTTGCTGCATAACCCAAGAACACTTCAGCTCAAATATTGACAATCTGTAGATTTTATGGTTGATCACAGTGAATATATTAAAAATGGAGGGGGACAGGAAGTAGAACTATGTATACACATAGGGCCAGGGTAGCTTTTACAGGCAACTATCATTTGAAGATTGCTGTGTGTCTTTACTCAGAGCTTTTTAGACTAATTGTAAAATTAGTTTGATGATCTTAGCCTGTGTTGGACTGGTGACCTGTCCACAATGTAACCTGTGTTACACAGATGTAAACTGCTTCTGGAGACAGGCACCAGCCCCCTGAAGACCATGCCTTTTGTTGCAGGTGCAATGAAAGATGCAGAAACAGAAGAAATATTTAAAGGGGGAAATATCTCGTTTTCCCAGTACAATCAGAGAGAGAGAGAGAGAGAGAGAGAGAGATGAAACTGTTTGACTTATCTGGTTGTTTCACCTGCCTTGACTTTCTCATCAAGGCTACCGTCATTGAATTTTAATGTTGTTTTACAAATGTACATATTTCTGTTCTTCAAACTGACCAGAAGCTAAAATTCAGAGGTAGCAAAATGTGTGGGAGATATCCATGAGCCCTCAGTTCACCACTCATAGACATAGTTTGTATTGAATGGCTCAGAAGTTTACAATAAGCCCTAAGCTGGTACATGTCCAGCACTTTGAAGTACCTTTATGTGTTTTCCTACCAAAATGGGAAATTCACAGATAAGGAAGGTGCTTAAACCTCAGCATTGTAGCTAACTTAACATTTAAAACAACCCTACAAGGTTTACTGTCATGGAGACAAAGTAGGACTAAAGAGTGTCAATAACAGCCATATGTACCATCATAAGTCATATGTATCATCACAGACATGTTCTATTTAAAATTCAGCCACTTGAATGACTCAAGTATCAAACTGGTCCAAGCAGCTCAAACAGAACTCAGTAGATGATCACTAACAGCATCTACAATGTGAAGTTATAGTACAGTGATGGTGACTAGAACTCTACCACTGCATCCAAATAAATACTAGTGAGTTTAAGTGTTTCAAAGTTCGTATGAGGCTTGCCATCATTATAAAGATTTATTGTACAAATTGTTCCAGTTCAGACAAGTTGTACAATAAATCTTTAACATTGTACCTGGATAAAACAGGCAGAAACAGACGAGCCTTATTACAACTGTTCACTTTACCTTTAAAAACAAAGCTACTTCACACCAGTGGGAGGTCAACATCATCTGCTAATGTTAGAGTAAAATTATTAATACATTCAATCACCTACGCTATATTACAAACATCACTTAGATTTACCCATATCACATTTCTCTAGAGTAATGTAGGCTACAAAAGCGGATAACCTTAATTATGCAAATTTAACAGAAGGGATAATGTCACCTTCCTGAAATTTTTCCAAAAGTGATTTTTTTTGTCTAAATCATCTTTTGTCCTAAAGAAGACATTTTAGGAAAGTGACTATATGATAGTCTGGCATTATTGAGAACATTTCATGTATCCAAAAGGGACCAGATGACCCATCATGGTTGATGCTGCAACTCTTAATGTGGGAATTACAAAGTGGATTAAACAAATTTATGGCACTTCATCATATTTGTACCTATATGGTATTCTTTCCCCCATTTCCCCTATGGTGGTGTAGATAATGATAAACAACTCACCTGTTCTGTATAATTGTAACATGCATTGAACCGACGTAATAAAGTAGTGAGTTTGATCAGTAACATAATTTAATATTTTCTGCAGAGAAATACTGTAACCAATTTCTAGCTGTTTTTTCCTTTTAGCATTTTTTCTGAAAAAGCTTGCTTAGCATTCCTTTCCACATATAAAAAAAACATTTGCCAGTACAACAACGCAAACGTACACAGAGAAATTCTACTCTCATCTCTCCCTGCTGCCCTCTTCCTGTCAGATAACTTTCAAAAAAAGGCCACAAAAAAAGATATTTTAAAAAATGAACAATGATAAACAAAACCTCAGCACTTACAAACATGTTCAAATGTTACTCACGTGGACAAACTTGTTGGTACCCCTCTGTTAATGAATGACTGGTACCAGCTATTTGAAACGGACCAGTTCAGAATAGTGCAGTATTTCGTTGTTAGCCATTCTTAGGTGTTTCTAGCTGTGTTTGGGTCATTGTCCTGTTAGAAGACCAATGACCTGCAATTGAGATCAAGTTTTCTGACAAGGTTGTCGATTTTTGTCCAAAATGCCTTGATAGTCTCCAGATCTCATTGTACCTTGATCCCACTGATAGATGTAGCAAAGCTGCCCCTGATCAGAACTGAGCCTCCTCCATGTTTCACAGTATGTTGTTTTTTTTTGTTTTTTTTTTTTTTCTTTTAATCAGTTTTGGTCTCTGAATGCAGAGCTTGGTAAAAACCTCCAGAATTGTCTTGTTTGTCCAAAGGACATTTTCCCAGAAGCTTTGTGGCTTATCAATATGCAATGTAGCGAATTCCAGTCTCGCTTTTGGGTGATTTGCTTTTAACAGTGACATCTCCCATGAAGTCCACTTTGGCTCAGACAAGATGTATTGTTCAATCCATCACAGATGGACCTTAACTATAGAGTCTACCTTTAATTTCCTTGAGGTTGTTCTGGGCTCTTTGGTTTCTATTTGTATTCTCCTGCTCTTAAACTGTCAACAATTACCCTCAGTCATAGGAGCACCAAGCTGCTTAGAGATGCTCTTGAAGATTTTACCTTTAACATGTTTTCTTTCTGATCTCCTGGGACAAATCTCTCATTTGCTTCCTGTGGTTCATTGTGATTTCATTCGTTTATTTTCAAAATGATTCTGTTGAATCACAATTCAGAAGCAAACCCTGATCTGATTTTTGTTAGTTCATTTTCAGTACATTTTTATTCATCATTACTTTTGTCAGTTTCAGGTTATTTCAGTGGTGATTGTGGGGTACCAACAACTTTGTTCATGTGTGCAAACAGTAAAATGTGTTTTTCACCAAAAAAAAAAAAAAAAAACGTGTTAACGTGCTGTGACAACACGGTGTTGGCATCCTGCAGTGTGTAGGGGCTCAGACGTTACAATGTCTGGTATGAGGTTGATCTGTCACAATGGTTGTAACTGGAAAACTGAACCTTTCCAGGAGCGTTGCATGGTTTACACCAGAACAGTTCAGGTCCTTTAGCTTCTTCAGTTTTGGCATTCTGGACTTCCAAGTTACATCCAGAGTCTTCAAACGTTTTAGATGATGATCAGTCACAACAAGAACAATATGCCGTCAAACATTAGCTTGAAATAGTATTAAACCATTTTCAGCCAGGCCCAAGTGAGGTCAGTGTTGGACTGACTCAAAGTTGATCTTTATCAGTTACACACAACTGACGCACTTAGGATCTTGTCAAAGAATTCTTCAGTCCGCATTATTACAAGTTAGCCGGTAATGTTTTGGATAGCAAAGCTGAGCTGATCTCAGGTCTGGGTGAGGGGACACACACCGATCCCATCCTGTTGAGCGAAGTGGCCTTTGTTATGCCCTCGCTGCCCACTGTAGACAAAGGGAAGCTCTCATAGCTCTCGCCTGCCCGGGTGCCACACTGGCAGCGCTGCAGCGTCGTCCTCAGCTCCCGCTGGAAGTTGCTGTTGAGGAAGCCGTACACCACGGGGTTGATGCACGTGGAGGCCATGGCTGTAAGGTGGCAAGCGGAGAAGACAGCGTCATGCTGACATTTTGGCAGGGCCTGGTGATGCCAGTCAAACAGAGTGTTGAAGACATTCAGAGGGAGCCAGCAGAGAGCAAATGCGATGACGATGGCTAGCAGCATGACATTGATCCTCTGGGCTCCCCGGGTCCTCCTGCTGCGCTCCAGCATGTCCCTGCACAATACAGAATGTACCCATTACCACACTGTTCACTGCTGAGGCTTCACCTCAGGCAGGATTACGCAACAATACGAGACATACATAGTGTCGACTGAGAACAAAAACGTGGTGTCAAAGCAGTGGATTGAAAGACACCTGTGGTGAGAAGACTTTTGAAGTGCATGAGGGAGAGTGTAGCTGTGTGACCTGCGGCGTCTCAGGCGGATGAAGATCCTCAGGTAGCAGAGCAACACCAAAAGGAGAGGCAGGCAGTACTGGAAGATCAGCAACGAGGTTGTGTAGGCAAGGCGATGTTTGTCTGACGGCCACAACTCCATGCAGATCAAATGGTCCCTTAGACATGTTAGGAAAAAAAATAAAAAATATATTTCAAAATATAAACTTTAAGAAAAGGTGTTTTTGTGGCAAGGTCAAAAGGTTAGTCCAGATTTAGTACTGAAGTGAAGTTATCAGAAACCCTTGGAGTGGTGCAGGCTAACATGATTACGCTGCGTATTCATGGTTCAGAATTTTCAGATTCACCTAATCATACACATATCAAATATTTTATATATTCACCTGTTAAAAAAGTTTTTTAATACAGCATATTTAAAATATTTGAACGAAAATGCATTTTGGGACCTGGGCGTGATGCTATTGGACACACTACTGACTGCTGTTTGAATAACAACCAATCCAGACGCATCATTCATTTTCCTTGGCACTCATTGGCTGGAACCCAAAGAGCAGCAATAAGAAAGATGCTGGATGTTAGCATCTGCTGTAGTGATAAGATGGTTTCCACTGTGCATGTTGTATATGCTATATTTTCAAAATGTTAAAATAGCACACAGCAGAAATATCTCCTTAGATCATCTTAAAGGGACAGTTTCATGTTAAATCTACTCTTTTGAGCTTTACATCATGTTATGTTATGTATATCATGTCATGATATTATTCCCTCATCAAAACATAGCTGGAGTTTTGCTTTTATTCCTCATGCATGTTTAAGAAATCTTTGAATTTTCATGGCAACCATTCAGCTGTGGAGAACACCAGGGTGGAGCTAGTCCCGCCTTTGAGGTGCAGCTCCACCTTGGAGCTGCAGTTTCCAAGTTTCTGCTTCCTCACGGAGCAGACCTCCCTCATGACTAAACCCACTCAGCTCCTTCAGACTAGCCAACAGCAATTAGCAAACACCTGGTGAAACTGCACCTCTGCTGAGCACATCATTGGAGCTATTTCTCAGAGCAAATCTGGTAAAAACGTTGTTGAAGGGTTAACGGAGGAGCCACGTTGTGATGACTTCCTGAAGTTGGAGTTTAAAAAGAGCAGGAATATTTAAAGAGGCAGAGGCCCAATTTCAAGATGTCAAATTATGAAGTCAGTTTTCTTTTAAAATTAACTTCAATGTTGCAAATTTGATACATGCAGCATTTTTACAACTGAACTTAACATAGTTACTTGATTGTGCTATAAAATGCCACTAAGATAATAAGTAACACTGTCTCTGCAAGATTGTTGGAAGGGTAGAATTGGGTCTAAAATCAGAATAAAAATCTTGCTGTGTGAGCCATGTGTAAGCAGCACAGCTTTACCCTTATTTATTCAACCAGCCAGCATGGCTCTTTGTTCATCCTCAACACAACTCACTAACCACAGAAGAAAAATGATCCTGAAAGTTTCCTTAAAGCCTGGGTTCATTTGAATTGCTATTTCCTGGTCTGATTAAGTTGGGCTTCTGACTGCCACTGCTATAATTATTACTTCATGCCCATTCTTCACTCCCCATGGTAATTCTCACTGGTTGTGTGTGCCAGGAGGTATCCTCAAATTCTGAAACGTGTTCTTAGTTTGCATCCGGGGCATGAGCAAACATCGTTTCATGGGGAAAGCATCACCGGTGTTGCACTGCACAGTCTAATGAGCATAAAATTGGCCTCATCAGGCTCTTTTTCCTTCCACCTCAATTCCAGTTTGTTCACGTTATGCCAGGTAATGATCCATGCCCCAGGAAAACTGCTGAAGACAGGATGATGTTCCAGCCCTGTGCTTACCTAAATCCATTTAGCATCAACATCAGGTCTTGCCTTGCAAAAATATTCAGATATTTGTATTTTTATATTTGTGTATGTAATTAGTTTTAATTGCATGTGGCCGACAATAGAACATAATTTTGAAATGGAAGGAAAATGTTAAATGTTTTTTTCAAACTTATTGAGAAATAAAAAAAATGGGCGTGACAATCTGTGCTTAACCCAGATTCTGAGTCAAACTGGGATGAAGGAATCAGTTAGACCCTTAAAAGTGTCTTGGGACTCAAGACTTAAACACATTTAGTCAAAGCAAAAATAAAACTGTTTTCTTTTAAGCTCACTTTACCTGCTTTTCACCTGCACAAGTTGGCCAAAATGACCACATGTCCTGTTTGTGTCCTTCTCCACGTAAAATGAAGCAGCTCTTTTAAAGCCTCACTGCTGTGTGTCGAACATTTGTGTCAATTCTATTCATGCACATTTATCTAATCTCACATTAAGATCCGTCTGTGGCAAAACCTTCAGCCTCACCTGAAGGGGTTGGAGGGCAGGCTGATGTTCTGGAAGGGGTCATTAGTGAGAATGTTGAAGGACAGAAAGGGCAGCGAGATGAAGCAGCCGACCAGCCACGTGAGCCCCACTGCAAGGTAGGAGTGTCCGGCCGCGGGGGTCCAGCCGGTGGGGTGGAGGATCAGCTGGTGGCGCTCCAGAGCAATGAGCACGAGGGAGAAGATGGACACGGTCACAGACATGCACTGGACAAAGGGTGTCACCTGGACAAGGTCAGAACAAACACGTGTCTAGTTAAGGCATTCAGTGGTAATCATTCAGTTCTAAAACAAAATCTGCATATAGATGCAATATTTACTTTGTGTTGAATCTATATTTAGCGAACTGTGTTACTCTGTGTTTGCATCATCTGTTTTGAAGAGGAAGCCAATTGGTGGGAAAGCTGTGATTTTTGATGGGGGAACCAGACGTGGCAGTTTGACATAGTGGGGATTTTCTCTACTAGGCACCATTTGTCCATCCACTGAGTTATGTGGATGAATAAAAAAGCAAATGGTGATGGGAGGTTCTGCAATGGCTGAAATGATAGCTCCAACTTCACAGTCTCTGTAAAGCACTAGCTAGCAGATAATACAACTATAGACAAACACATGGATGGTTTCTCTAGATCTTGCTGAGACATTCGCCCTCATGGGATATGCTCCTTCTTCTATACAACTACACACCACTTTGTGTTGGTCTGTAACATCAAGTCTTAACAAAACGTACTGAAATTTGTTGTTCTGATGTGACAAAATGTGAAAAAGGTCAAAGGTTATGAAAACTTTTGGAAGGCAGCGCTGCATCCATCTTGCCATCAGGTGTGACCCGCTAACCTTACACAGGGCCTCCCCCAGCACCCAGTGGTCCATCAGCGTGTAGATGACAGTGACCGGCAGACACACCACGCACATCAGGATGTCCGAGCACGACAGGTTGGCGATCAGAATGTTGGTGACGTTGCGCAACTCCTGTTGCCGGGTGATGATAAATACAAGGCCTGCGTTGCCCAGCAACCCGATTGCAATGACTGCACTGTATGCAACAATCAGGAATGTAGCGCCGCCTACTGAGGGTGGGCACTGGGAGGTGTCTAACCAATCAGTGGCTTCCAAGAAGGTTGTGTCGTTAGACATGGCAGGTGGATGGAAGACGGGGAGGGAAGCAGATGGGATGGTTTGGTGGGTTCAACTCAGAGGCCTGAGGCTGCAGCTGAACTCCTACAGGGGATCAGAACGGAGATGACAGGAGGAGAAGGAGAGGAGAGAAGGAGGAAACAGAGAGGAAGCACAGGTCATGAGCAGGATTCAGGAACACCTGATGGAGCTTCAGAAGCATGTCCGACACAAGCGGAAATTCAAATGTAGAAGTTGCCCTGTTGTTTCCTCTCTGTTAGCATCCCGGTGGATTTGCTCTGCATCAGCAGCTTCCTGCAACAAAACAGAAAAACAATGCAGAGTAACGAGGACGGCTCACCAGGTGGGAGAAGGTGAAGAAGATCAGTGGAGATGAGGGACTGAATATTTTAGCTCATGCTGTTCTTCTTCTCTTCTCCCTGTTTTAGTTCGCTCTCAGCAGAGCCGCTCTGCAGCCCCCACAGACACTCATTAATATACAGCATTGTTGGTTTAATGGCACATTATGCAGCCCGGATCACCAGGGATACTCTGTTTGTAGATGAAGCAAGAAAGACTTGAGCTGAGTGTGCGTCTGCTAAACCAGCACTGCCTGTCGCTTTGACAGGAAATCTAAAATGAGACCTGGGAGTCCGCTTACTTCAGAGCTGCAGAAGATTCAGGCAGTCTGCTGCCCAGACGGCGACATTCAAACCAAATGGAAAAAAAAAAAAAAACACCAAAGAGACGACAAGAAAGACCAAAGATGAATGGACAGGAAGAAGGTCTCCAAAGAGCAAATGTCACGGAAGAAAATCATTACAAAGGTCTGTCAAATAAAACCTCTATTCAGCTGCTGGGGAGAACTGATGAGAAAATGACTCATTTTCTGCTTTATTCTGACGTCCTTGTCCTTCACTCCTCCGTTTGGTCACTGCTGTAATTATCTTGACCATTTCTGCTTGTGTCTTGTCAGCCTGGGTCTGTCTGAACTGTATCGTGGTCTCTTTTCTTTAAGCCCCAGAAATCTGGCATTTTAACTGGTGTTTGTGGGCTTTGGTTTGTTTTTGATCAGCAAAGAGTGTTTGACTGTCAGCAAAAGTATTTCAAGAACTTTTGAGGCAACGATTTCCAACCGTAATCCCAAATCAGCTCCTGCAGCAACGCGCAGGGACACGTCTGAGGCAGACAGAGGACAAGTGGCTGCCAAGAATATAGACATGAAAGAAAAGTGCCCAAAGGCACAGAAAATAGAAATATTCATGCTAACATCTGTGAGAAGAGGTTCACAGAAATGCTTTCAATCTAAAGCCAATTTCAGTTACATGGGTCGCTGAAAACCTGATCAGAAGAGACGAGTTGGAGACGATCCTGTGGTTGTTTTCCTGATAGCAGAGCAAACCCTTCAGTCCAGGAACACATTTCCATGTAGAGGGAATTTCATTTGATTCCATAGGGAACAAACACATCTATCTGTGATCAATTTATATGTATCAAAAGTCAGAGGTACATTTACTCTTTCTGGTCTTATTGTGTGCATAACAATGCATGTTATTGTTTATGTTTGTAATGTTTTTCCTGCATCTCTGGCTACATATATACTGTATAAGGAGCTTGATGCCCCAATGCCTGAATAAACCACAGACGTCTCCTCTGATTGGCTGATAGATGATGAGGCTAAATTATGAATACAACTCATGTAACTGTTTACATCCGTCACTGCCATGACTTTTAATGACGTACAGCATGAACAAGCTTAAACATGTGATTTTAATTTCATGTCTTAATTAATGGTAACACCGTAATTGCAAAATTCTGTTTTTGCAACATTAGCAAAATACAAATGAAGATCTCTGCACATTTCTAAAGGAAACACGGATTGTGCATTCACACCTGTCAGTTCATGGGTTCTGTGCTGGATTCTCCCCTCATACATCTCACCTCACGGCCTGCCTGTTTTATTAGTCTGTTACTTCATGAAGATCTTTGTCTGGGTCCTTTCATTTCTCAAATCCTGACAGAAGAACCTGGCTACCCTCTGGACCCGGCAGGGCTTCATGCTCTGGGGAGACTAAAAAGACAGCCAGGATGCATCTGAACTTCAGGCCGGTCTTACCCTCTATGGAGGAGAGTCAGTGCTGAGGAAATACTGATGAACTCTCTCAGTGAGTTTAAACCTTTACTTTGATTTGATGATGCTGTGTGAAGAGGCTGAGTGGAATCAGCAGGCGACAAGCTGCCTGAACCTCAACCTGGTTGACCAAACTTGAGAAGCTACTGGTGTATTTCAGTGTGCTGTTGTGGTGCAGAGTTAAAAAATAAATTTGTAACTCAGTACATGTGTGTCTGTGTTAAAAAAAAGAAACATTTTAAGTCAATTCAGCACTGCTTTTCTGTATCAGATCGGGATCGACCGATACTAAATCTGAAATATCGGTATCGGAAGTGAAAAAGTGTATCATGCATTCATAATTGATTACTCATCATTTTTGCTCTTAGCTAGAAAGAACCCTGTTCCTTCATAAAAGATTTTCCAATTTCCTGGAGCCATGGGAAATATCATTGATATACCATTTCCCATGGTTTATCAATACCAATAAAATGTTATTGAATATCTTTCTCAGTATCAGTTTCAAGTTTGAAATTTTAGTATTGTGACAACCCTGTAAAGGTTGATATATCTGACACCTACGAAGAACTGAAACATTATTCTATGAGGAGAGAGCCAAATGTCCAAAACAGCACAGCATGAAGACTAATCAAGTCAGAGAGAAAACGACAGTTACTACAGCTCAGATTGGTTCTACAAGCTTTTGAATGACGTGGTTCACCTAATTACTTCCTGTCACAAGAACTTGTTTCCCCAGTGCTGTACATATGCATGAATGCAATCAGTTGATTGTCACCATTGCTGCTGCCATCCTCCGTGTGTGCAGAGCTCCGTCTGTCGCTGCATTTTCGATCTTTTCTGTCATTCGCTGTGGCCCCCGAGGGACGGAGCTGCCAAAGAATGAGACACACTCACAGGTGTTGCTGCTCCTCCGCTTTGACTCACTCGCTTCCACCCACCCCAGATAACATTCATCAGAAATCCTGCTATCTGCCGTGCTGTTGTTCCTGCACACAGCATGTACACACAATCCTGTTTACTTGAGCATGTTCAGTCACCTGGAGGATCTGAACTGTGGAGACCTGATGGGACTGATCTGAAATTAGGCGTACAGACATGTGACATTGAATCTGAGTGGTGACTATGGTTGGAGCTTTTTATAAAAATAGATTTTTAAATGTGCTGCTTTAGGCATGTGTCTCGCTACTGAGTGTCAGTTATTGCTAGGTGCACAGAATCTGAATGTGTTGGTGTCGTACCATGCACAGCAAACCCAGCATGCCCAAATTATCACTCAGGTTTGATTTCAACACGTTTAAAGTGTCTGCATGGGTCCAAACCAGAGAGAGAGAGTTTAAATCTTTTTGGAGAATTGGTACATTGACTCTGTCAAGTACTAAATCTGTCTGGAGTTAATCACTTAACACTTAATAACACTAAGTGTTAAACTGTTACATATGAACTCTGTTAATCATGTCACTCATTTCCATTGCAGTTTTACAAAATACATCTATTTTGATACGGCTGACAAACCACCTCATCCCAGTGAAAAACTTTTTAAAATTGTCTTTAACAAAATTTATTTTAATAATTTCAGTTTGCGGAACACTGTGTGGTTTATGGAAACACAGCTACTGATGCCCATAAGAACGCTGAGGTTCTTTTTCATAAGGAACTGAAGGGCAGATTGTGACAAATACTCTAGATTGCAAAAATCCAAAATGTTCTTTTCAAAGTCAATGACAGAAAACTCTGAGCTTCAGGGTTAACTCAAATGGCTGTGAGCTTCAGGTTTTCGTCCAGTTACTAAACCACACACCTGTGATACTGGATATTCAACCAATCCACTGCATTTACACAGTGCTCTGAGTTTCCCTATGTTTAGTATATTGAGTGGCATCTGTATTATTTTTATGAACATGTTCCACAACCAGGAGAACTGCATTCTTCCACTTTGCAACTGTGACAGGACAGGATTATGCGCCACCAAATGAAAGCCACAAGAGCGCTTCGGATGGGATATCCCACTTGGCTCACACCTAGAAAACACATGGATGAGCAGCACAACACAGAGCAGGACTGTGTGCTGTGATTCATGCATCTCAGTGTAGTTTCCTGTAAACAGAGCAGAGTTAGAGTGGAGTCAAAGAGCTGCACGGCTCTCTGGAGGTGACAAGCTGTGAAATTCATTGTGCTCACTCCTGAACGCGCTGCACCGATGAATAACACGTGCAGAAATAAGTTCGGCCTACAAATATTTACTGTGACTGTTTGCATATGGACACAGTGACAAACTCCATGCAGCAGAAACGTCTCAGCGGTGGCTGTGGTGAATCACAGCGGCCTTCACAGGACAGCAGATGCTTCTAACTGCAGGTAGGAGTTCTGTCAGCTTCTCTAGAAACAGGAATCAAAGTTATAATGAATCCAATTCTTCTGTTCATCTTCATACAGGTGAATGTTAGCATCATATAAGACACATTAATTCAGGAGTGTACAAAGTCTGTCCTCAAAGGCCAGCATGCTGCATGTTCTCCTTCTCTCTGACTCAAAACACCTGGATCAAATAATGACTCAGTAGTAGACCTCTGCAGAACACTATCTGTGTTTTCATTGACTATAGCAGTGTTTCTCAACCCTGGTCCTCACCGCCCCACTGCTCTGCATGTTTTAGATGTGCCTCTATTCCAGAACAGCTGATTCAAATGACTGCATGACCATCAAGTACTGCAGAAGCCTGTTAATCACCAGAGATACAATTCAGGTGTGTAGCAGAAAGGAAATACCTAAAACATGCAGGACAGGGGGGCGGTGAGGACCGGGGTTGAGAAACACTGTACTATATGATGGCACAATTTGACATTTCAAAAATAAATTTGCTAAATGGAAATTAGACAATTTTGAAAAATTCTTGAATTCAATAGAAAGTTTTGGTGTTAGGATGAGGTAAAACTGCAATGGAAACAGTTTTTTCACATCACATGATCAACAACCAGATGCAAACCATGAAGAAGACCATGCAAACCATGGAGCGATCTTAATGACTTATCATGTTAAACTTATTCATGTGTCATTTTAATTTCATTTTTTTCATTTAAATGAAACACCGCAATTGCAAAATTATGTTGTTCTTTTTTTCCATGAGCAGAATATTGACTGAATATTGAGTTTCACGCACATTTGTAATTGACATGCTGAGGTGGCATCAGGAACAGAACTAAAACCTGCAGAATACGGACATTAAGGACCAACTGTGGACACTGCTGCTTTAGGCAAACTGAGCCTTTATTCATTTTCATAATTCCTGGACTAACACTTCAACCACATTGACAAGACACTGTTCCTACAATTTTCTATCATCTATCCTTCCATTTTCAATAGCTCCTTAATCTTTGCAGAGTGGCAGTAGAGTCGTTTCACATCGTGGACTGACGCCAGTTCGTCACACAGCAACAGAGAAACACACAGCCAGGCATTCATACACTCATACCTAAGGGCAATTTAGAAAACCTAATTATGTATTGAGTGCATGTTTTTGGACTTTGTGAGTGACCAGTGACAACCCAGTTATGTATGGGTAGAACATGTAGTAAAGCCAGAGCCGTGATTTAAACCTTTAAGGCTTAAATGCACCACGATGCATATCACTGATTAGTATGAATAAGAATGGGATAATAGACATTCTGTATCAGTGAGACCATGATGTGGAAACAATCACCTCATCTTGAATGTGCATAAAACTAATTAGACGATTGATCCTCTGCATAAAGCAGGCAGCACTGTGAGGTTCATGTTATATGATTTATCCAGAACATTTAGCACAATTTAACACAAATTAAATTAGCAAGGGGGCAAACACTTTTTCACACCCCTCTGTATGCTGAGCAGAAAAACTGAGGACATTTACAGTATATTCCATAACATGAGCCTTTTTATCACTGTCTTATATTGTTGGAGAACTTGTTGATTTCCCTCTAAATCAGGGGTCACCAACTCCAGTCCTCGAGGGCTACCATCCTGTAACTTTTAGATGCGTCTCTGCTCAAACACACCTGGATCAAATAAAGTGCTCGTTTCCAGCCTATTGCAGAGAGGAATGAATGCTGGTGAGGGAATTCAGACATTTTGGAGCAGAGGTGAATCTAAAAGTTGCAGGATGGTAGCCCTGGAGGACTGGAGTTGGTGACCCCTGCTCTAAATGGTGCCACAGGTTTTGAGAGAGCTAAGGATTTGGGCAGCAACCATGAACAACTTGGAGACACCGCCCTGCCTGTGCCAAACAGCTTAAGCACCACTGAGGCTCCTCTCTGCTCAGTGAAGACTGTTAAATCACCAATATGTCTTGATTCTTCAGACTTCCATCATCCAGTCAAACAAACACACACCAACTGGAGTCAATAGCGGGATAAACTGTTTGGCATCGACACATGCTCTACTCTTCAAATGTGGGACCATTTAAAGAGAAATAAATCAGCTCTCCAGCAAAATAACAATTACTGCCACAAAGCTTTATCAAAGTAGAGAAAAATAAACACAAATGTTCTTATTTCCTTTCTCATCACTGAAACAGAAAAAAACAAACAAACTGGATATAGCCATCGTTCTGTAACCTTTTCTTTCCTTTCCCATATCAAGCCAGTAGCTGAACTGTTTAGCTATCGGTATCTTTGCCTCAATAACTTTAAACTTCATAGAAATATAAAAAGTGGATAAGAATTGGAGAAAATAGCAAAGTGTCCCTCAGGATGAAAGATCCCTGTCCATCAGGTGAGCAGAATGTGAACGTCAAAGCAAATGACAGACCTGAGGAAAGACCTGAGGGACGCAGCGTCCTGGACGGCATGTCCAACCTTTCAGTTTACAGATCCTTTGTAATCACTCTGACCATGATATTGATAATGTAGCTTTGCAGATTAGAAGAAAATAAGGACCTCTAAAGATACCAGATCCTTAAATAAAAAATGAATTATGCAATAAAAATGTGACATTAAAAATTTAATTTTACAAGAAACATGGATGTTTTTCTGACATGCAGGTGGACAGAGGTGCCTGCTGCTCTGAAACGTTGCCTCACCCTGCAGACAGTGAACTTTGGTATTTAGGTTTTTCCTATTAGTCGTGACTTTAAATGACCTCATGAAGCTGCTGCTGCAGCTCTGTTCCTGTTTCGGCAGTAATCTGTCAGAACAAGTGTGTTCAGGAAAAACATAAGTACATTTGCAGTAAAAAAGCATTCATCTCCCTTGAACTTGTTTCCATTGTGTTGTGTACCAATGGAAGTGGGAGGTAACATTTATTTGAGTAACTCTTTAAAAGAAATGTTCTTCTAAAAATAACTTTGCAGCAGCAGCTTTTACTATGATATGCATAATTTGACTTTGAAGTGACGCTACTTTGACCTAATTACAATATTTTCCAGCGACTCAAATTAACTGAATGAACATCCAGCACCAGAGACAGAGTTCATGCTGAAATGAGCCTTCTTTGTTTGGAACAAGCTTTATTTTGCTACCTGCTTGGCCACGCTGGGTTCACAATTCAAGATATCCATATTGTCATAGAAAGTAATTTGCTTCTACATATAAATTGATGACTAAGTTTTGGATTCAAATGTTTCACATTATGAGAAAAATTAGATTTGGAAAGGTCTTTCTTCTGCCTCAATAGTTAATTAATAACCTATTTGTATAAATTTTATTTTTATCTTCAACATACCAGAATTTGCACATTATTTGATTCAATCTGATTACAGGTTTCAAATCTAATCAGATTGTCTTATCCAGGGTTTATTATCTCCTTCATGTTTCTCTGTGTTCTGCTCAGATTGTTTCATGTTTCCACGTCTCTCTGCTTCACCTGCCAGTTACTGTCTCTACTCTGCAGCTTCATTCTATTCTGATTCTCTTCTGCTGCAGTCACGCAGGCGACACAAAAAACCTGCAAAGAAAGGAGCTCTGGTCAAATAATACTGCAGCTGAACATTTTGGCCTACATGCAAAACACTTTGAGGCCTGATCTTTAAAAGGTTTACATCTATTTAAACAGGTCCAAACCAGGCACAACCAGTATTTTTGTGCATTCCGATCATCACAAATCACAAATATACTGGATGGAGACATGCAGATGTAAAGACTTACAACCCACAAAGTGATTTTTCAGACCTGAATCAGATTCAGACTAACTGGAGGTTTGAATCAGATTCAGGTCTGAAAAATCAAATATACTTTTTTTTATTTGCTGTTTTTGCATTTGAAAGACAGGTGCAAACTGGCATGGAAAAATGTATGAATGGAACAGATAAATGCAACTTGCCTGTGGACATTCCTTATGACATTAAGCTAAAAACAAAAACACCTCGACTAATTTAAAAATTGTGCCATGTTATAAAACTGAACATCATAGAAACCAGAGACCAGAAAACCGACACAGAGCAAAGAGACAAAATCTGTCCCAGCATTTCTCATGTGTGATTTTTTTTTCTCCCATTCCTATTGATCCTAGTTATCAAATGGTACAGATTGCTCAATTATTTCAATTTAATTTGAAAA